GGTCGATAGCAATACGAAGCCGCTAACCTGGTGATTACATACAACCAGGCTGTCTTATGCAATCGCAAGCACACCGACCCACTAACAATTTCGCAGGGAACCACTGCTGGCTTTTGTCTACCTAAATGATTGTCGACTACCGATTGATAGAAGCAAGAGACGTTCAGTGTGGCTGTGTTGTCCGGCTAATATCCAGTTGGCAAAACGGAACGACCTACCTTCCCTTGGTGTTGCTCTGCGGTCGAGGCATGACGCATTGATTGCGGCTGTCGTATCTGGCTACCCTTTAGTCTTCACAGCCAAACGGTTTATGTTTCCTTGTTGTTGCCCTGTAATCCACGCATGACAGGTCTATTTCGAACGTGGTGTTCGCTAACGTTCACTTCTCACAGCTGAACGGCTCGGTGTGCCCTGCTATCTTAGGCACGCATGTCGCGTCACTGTGTCCCATCTCACGCCTTCCTGCAAAGCAATTCTTGCCATTGGACAGCTAGCAATTCAGCGTACCGGTGTACGTTAGCATCTGAGTGCAGACGATCCCAGCTCCGGACCAGATAAATAAAGCACCCTGTTGATAATCCGTTGGAGAACAGTGTTCACAGTACAATTCTCAACGTGTCCGATACAGCAATTATATCCTTTTTCTTCATGTCTAACTAGCTTGACACACAAATCGGCCGCCACAAATTCAATTGTTGGCTTAAACAGAAATAATATCATGGTATATGGTAGTTTTGTATGCAAATTTGACACGACTGTAAGACAAAATCCATGATGACGAAACAACAAGATTCTACTTACAAATCCCTTGTATAACAGGTATTCCTTTACGCGATAGTCAGTAGAAACAATCGGGGGTAGTATTTTATGTTTATAGGTTACACAATAATACAAATTATTTCAAAATGCTGATAGCCAAACTGCAGAATCTGATATACAATTTCCATTGAAGCAAGCTTAAATACTTTCAAAGTATTGTATTATTCCTTGGTGTTCATTATTAGTAGATACGCTCCTAGACTTGGGGACAACCAGTTCAATCATTAGTTATAATGTTAATATTTATACGACCAGAAGAAATGGTTCGTCGCCAAGTCGAAAATGGATTCAGAAATTTTGACGTGTTTTTGGTGACTTGCTTCTAAATATAATGCACATTTCGCGTCCATAATTATGTTTCGTTAAAAAGAAAATACCTGGAAGCGTTAACGGAAATAAAGCGCAAAGAAGGGGTCTTCGTGTGTAGAATAGTCAAGGGTGCGGAGATTTGACTAATAAAAGAGTAAGGCTGCAAAAAATATAACAATATATTGAGCCATGAGGCCAAGTTTTCTTGAGGCAAAAGGGAAATAGACCAGACGAAGGAACTTGAACACAGGTCATTAAAAGCCTGCAAGAATATCGAACTAACGGTACCTATATGATGCTCCCTATGACAGCCTCAAAATTAGTGGCAACAACCTTCGAATATAGGGCAGCGAAAGCTAGTGACTACTCTTGAACCGGAACGACAATAAAAACGGTATTGTAATGAATTAAACACGGGCACAATGAATAAGACAAGGGTGTAGCAGCGTTGCGGATCGAGCGGACAGCGGATCACAGACGGCATCCGTTAACGAGCGTGGGCGCAGAACAATGGAAGAGATATTTGTCGAGAACGTAATGAATCAGACAACTACGCCGCTAGCAAAGCCCACAATAGTGAACGCGGGTCGATTGAGGCAGCCGCGGGAGAGCAAATCGTGAACTTTCGAACGACTCATGACCGTCCAGAATCGGATTTAGCGATGCGAAGATACGGTTTGGAAAGTTGGAGAGGTTGTTTCGAAGTTGAACCTCGTAGGCACTTGGAATGGCCCGTCACATAAATCCTCATCCGGGTTGCGCCGTGAGAAGGAAACACAGTCCAAATGTGCACGGGTTTCTGAGTAGTCAGTGGCACGTTCTCGTGGCAATACACGCTCTGCCAATCGCTGTGTCGTTTTCGCTACAAGGAGAGGTTATTTTTGACCGAAAATTTGCAAAGCTAACATTTCAATTCGTACCGTTTTTTCCTTGGTCAACTGGACCTACCACGCGGTTGCTCAGTGGTTTTTAATAATTCTGGATCTAATGCGACAACGGCATGTAACCTACAACCAACCTGGCAGCTTTTATTTCGTAGAAATCATCAAAGATGACAAAAGAGACGGGAAAGTGATGCTCTCTTTTTATATTGTCTCGCATTTTACCAACGTCCCGCTTACTTAGACAATATATTATTTTACGACTATATAAACCTGTCAGAAATAAAATGCTGATATCTACTTGTGAGCTCAAATCCATTTTTGCGCTGCACCTAGAATGCACAGTTCCTATTTAATGGCGAATATTACTAGCAGTATTGTGGCGATGCCATGGATTCTTCCCTATGTCCACTAGTGACGGATATCTTTATGACAAAGTTGAAGAGAACGGAAATGCAGACGGAGATAGTCACTTTTAACCGCTATTATCGCTAAATGGACAATACATTCGTTGTGATAAATAGGCACGTTAACCTAAATGAAATTGGTAAGCGTTTTAACCGAGCACGTGCAACACTGCATTTTACGTTTGAAAAGCGATCCAAAAATCAGTTGCCATACCTTGATGCTCTGGTAACTAGGAGACCAGAAGCCTCCATCCAGCGGCGGATCTACAGAAATACAACATGGATTGTCCAGCATACGAATTTCCACGTCCCTCTAAGATATAGGGGTGACTTGATTCACTGCCTTAATTCGAGAACACCAAGAATCTGCTCGGAAGACACCCTAGACGCGAAACTGATTTTCGTAGAGTATATATGGCGCGAAAAATTATCCCACAGTTATTTTAAGAAACGTTAAGGAAGAGCGTAAACTGGAACCAATGTTAACATCGGTAAACAAAGAGCTACTCATACGACAATCTTTCAAATGGAAGCAGTTATTAAACGTTTAACTCGAAGTCTTTCGGGCGCACTTAATTCGATTTTTACAACAGATGCACTAAGGTGTATTATTTTAATGGAACCATTTGTCCATTTACGAAACGTGGATGGGTTGCCCATGCAGACGTACTCAGTGCTGATTTATAAGTTCGAGCGCGTCCGGGGCGCTACGGTTAACGGTTGAACGGCTTGGCGCTTGTTCAAACGCTTGAATGAACGCTGCCCAGATTGGTTGCATCAAGGTAGCGCTGGGAGCAGTAGCAGCTCAGTCCTTGCTCATTTCTTCTGCCGTGGGAATCAGGTGGATCCAACGCGTGCCTTTAGAATAGTATGCAATGTTCCATCGCACCGATCAAAAGGCCAAGCCTTCGTACACTTGCGACGGCCGACGCTATTTGCATACGATTATATCAAGCATCCTTATGCTTACAAAGTGAGCTATTACAGGCTCTTCAGCTTTCCTGGCCTGCGAAAATGGAAGATACTGAGGTAAAACTCCGTAATATGTAATTTACACGTTTCGTTTTTTCCTTTACGTTACTTGTAGATTTTAGGCTGATTTAGCCATATATATATGATTGTAGTTGTCTGAGGATGAATCAGTGAAAACATTTGCTCACGAAACGGTCTCGTTGTTCTCAATAACTTATATGGGGATTTTCACGTAACCTAATATCCGAAAGTCACACATTTGTCTGCAATATACCAACTGTATTTAGGTAATGTCACACCAACTTCCTCAGATTCATATTGATTGCTTCTGGGAAAGCTACAAGTAAACCTTCATATCCGTCTTGTTTAGGAAACTTGGTTTCATCCAGAGTGTGACGTCTATATGGAAACTATTGCCAATAGCTCTAGTGAAATCGTACTAGACACCATAGGGTGAACCGGGTCACATAGTTAGATAATTTCACAATGTAATCATCGCGATCTAAAACGCACCAAATTAGGCTAAGAAGCGAGTGGAATGTCTCTGATGTGACCTGACGTCAGTGAACATGAATCACGATAAGCGGACTACCTCCGACTTCATCTGGGATAGCTACAATCATTACTGTGCTCTGTCTGACCAATTCAGCGCTCGATTGAGTTAAGTGTTGATTCATCTAGCTAACTTTACTTATAAGCCAGTGCAGAGAAATGCTATGATAGAAGATGTAGAGAACAGATGAAGTTTTGCTTGAATATATATTTTCGAGTTTAAGAGAGAACAAATCAGTTTTTTCTAACTGATGTAGTATATACTTCAAACTGACATGCGTAAGCAAGGACGCTGCAATAGAAATGAAAAGTTTATTATACTTCTCTGTAAGCACCAACAAGCTCGGTAAAACGAAGGGAAAATTCGCAAAGTTGGTGTTGCCTAAAAATCTTGAGTAAAGGTCTCATGGAATGTTCTCGATTTTTGTATATGTTCGAAAGTATGGTTGCTTCATGGACACATGTTGGTTACTTTCGGACATTAGCATTTTGAGTTTACTCTTTAATGCACTGGAATTACTACGCAGTTGACGTTTTACCCACAATAATAATTATACAAATGATTTGCTATTTCCCTGGACCCTGATTTAGACAATGGGCAATCAGTTTGGCACAAGATGCATGTAGTCACCAACTACATGAGCTCGTCGATTTAAAATTGGACTAAATCATATTTGGTAGAATAATTTACATCACCTCTTACTAAACTTCGCTCACCTCGCATAAGCACCTCGTAAGACTCAAAGAAATGCACACACCATCATTTGGTTTATATCATCAGATTGCAAGCGGTGTAAACTCTGCGGTAACACCGGTAGACATATCACTTGTATTTGCAGCGAAAAACACAATTTCATTCAAAACTCATGCAACCAAACAAAGGATACTCCATAAAGGCTTTCAAATATGGCCTTGTTGAAATTTTGCGTAACATGCCATTTTCTAATATAAATTGATATCTGAGGCCAAGGGTGTTCATCGAGGACTACCGGGCAAACAGCAAAACTCTGTGTGATGTTGGATGAAACTCTAATTGTCTGGTCAAGGACTCACAGGCTTACTAACGGCCAACACAATTGCCGGCCTCATACGGAGATTGGTTGTTGTAGTTCCCCCTGTGAAAGCAGACCAAATATCAGGACATGTGCACAGGACGAACAGATGCCACAGAAACACCACTTCATTGCACCCTGGATGTTGATGGTCATGTACTGCGAGCAGATCGAAAAGCATGCAATGCGGTTTTTTTGGTCTAGATAATTATATTGCACTTACCCCGGCGCGTAATTGCAAACAAGATACATGCCGTATGGGAAGTTTGGCCTGCCGGTGCAATTCGTCACACCGCAGCCGACGGCTTTCGTTTTCGCCCATACGATCTGAAATGAAAAGCGATTAGATATCGGTGGATTTCTGTTAACAAACTTCAGTAAATTAAGACTTGCCACTCGCAACATTAATGTAACATGGACGGGTTGCCAATGTACTATGATCATGCTTTCTTCGAAAATATCCATTAGTGTCAGAGCATTTGGCTGTCTCTTCATGGACCATTGTTGTCTAAGGATTATTTTGAGAGGGATAGTCGATAGGACTGCATTAATAAAATTCAAGTATTCGCCGATGCAAATTTTTCGGATAATAAAGATTTACACGACAAACTTTCAAGGCCGTTGTCGCGTTAAATATGTGATATGAAGCCATTTGTAATACGCAATATTGTGTTCGCTTTATTGTAGCCTGGGATACAGTTGAGACATGTGCAATTATAGTTTAATACGCATTTTTTAAGAGTCCGGATCTTAATCAGGTAAGTTTCATAATGAATACTATATTGCTGCAGCACCAGACCATGAGGAGATTGCCTTGTTAGGGGTCAACATGTTTCGTATAACAGAGTTTTACACTGATTGGAGAAATGTACTAAAGTTGTATGTTGTTTTTATCAGTTGGCTGTTATAGACACAGATTACACTGCCTTTTCTTTCAAATTAATGTAAGCGGAGCCGTTATGATAGTAGGTTAGGGGACCCCAATGTCAAAATGGTACCTGACATAATTTCAGTTTTACCTTGACAAATGCAAAAGGAAGCATCTAATTCAACAGATCTGACTATACACTGAACAAATTATTCTGCAGTTGTATCCTGCCCATGATCCCTTCAAATGTAATTGGCGACAATGCCTGTTAGAGAAGGCTCCATATTAAGATGGTTGAATCATGTGGAATAGCGTTTTAAGAAAAGAAGTGGCGCTGTTGATTGAAGATACCAGATGGACGTAGAAAATATAGCCTAACAGACTCATACCATGTTATTACAACTGAATAGCCAAGCAGTGTACCTCCTGTAACCTGCAATCAACCCATAGGAATCCCACATCAACTTTGCACGTTTATGGTAGTATGTAAAACTCAAGTGGCAATCACGAAGCTGTTCATCACATCCAAGCTATTAACAACACCCATTTAGCCCTCAGCCTCCATTGTGTCATAGTACCGATAAATGATATTGAACTTCTGCATTTTATTCACTGTGTACCACAAGAGAAAGTTCAATGAAACATTGGCTTACTTGTGTATAACTTAGGCACCCTCCACGACAAATCTTTTCTCGAAAACTGTAATTCTTGTACCCATTGAACCAAGCTTTAAATCCTCTGGTGTAGACGAATAATAAAGCAGCGTTAGAAACAAGACATTACGATTGATATGTTTGGAATCCTGCAATGTTCTGCCCGACCCACTTGCTCCATTTCGAGGTGACTCTTCCAGCGTTCATGTTATGACCGAATCGACAAGTGTCACTCTGTTGCTGCGCTTTCTGTGTCAGTTCGTCATCCCAATACTGCCAAAGGAAGAAAGTAATACATTCATCGGAACTAGTGCTTAGGACTCCACATGTTCGGCTTTGAAGTACAGTTGAAAGTCACACCCACATTGCAACTATCATCAACTGTTATTAGCAATATACTGATGTACGGCAACCAAATATCATCAGAGTATCCATATTTGAATAAAATAACTGCAGTAAACGATCCAAACTTCATCTGTTTAATCCGTGGTCACCTGTTCGATGTGCATTCACGAGCCAAAACAATTGTAAGTTGAAACAATTTCATCGCGCTGTAAAAAGGTAAGACTTTTGTATCTGCCCAAAAATTATTGTTACCTTGCATCAGGTGGATGCGGGTGGAAACGCAAACTGTACTTCCATAATTACCAAGTACACTCACCAGTTTAGGTAGCCATTTTGCAGACGGCTGCCCCGAAACTTTGCACTTTACCACCCTGAGACGTGCAGCGTTATGTAAGCGCAAAAGCGTAGTCTTCTGCTCGTTCGTAATGGCACTGCATTCGAACGCAAGATACAGCAGGATTGGGACCCACAGAAGCATTCTTTTGTCCTGAGATTAATTGACCACGGTACAGTGAATCTGTAGCCTTGCAGTCGTATAGCTTTATGGCCCCAATCCATGTGCTTTAACTATTTATACTCTCAGAAAGCTCCTCTAATTGTTTCAGACTTTAAGCACATGAGTTGTAAACGTGATAAGGTATGCAATAAGTCCTCCAAAACTATAGTTGTCTGTATCCTACCATTTCTCACTTTTGCCGCAAGTTGTGTGCTTGCGCTGGTACGCATTCAACTTTGACAACTCTCTGCGCTTGACGATACGAGCACTCCGATTAATATCGACTTTTTTCATTTTGTGAACATTCCTCTTTCTATACATTTGTCTACTCTGGACGCCTGAGGCTAAATCATCCGCTGTGTCTGTGTACCTTGGGGTGCGCAAGTTTCTCCACTTCTCCTTGTCCCTTCATATGTGTGACCACACGATAACCTTGACCGTCTCACGCCACCACTAACCAGACAGATGTTTTTGGTATTTCACACCATACGCCAAAGTTGACCATTCACTGTCCCGTGGTGCGTCGCAGTACAGACCTCAGGTGCACCTAGTGTTTTGAACTATCCGGGATCGTTCTGTATGCATGGCTCAAGGATAGCGTCTTAGTCCTTTCAAGACTTGTAAAACTTTTCCCGCCCCTAAACATCAGCTGCTGAGCATTTATGTATGCGCACTATAAGTTGAATACAGGAACCGTTGGGAACCGGTTGGTTGCCCGGTGAGCCGGTCAATAAAAGTTTTGAGCAGTCCCAGTTTTCGCACCGCGTTGATATGTTAAAGGTGTTACCGAAATTTAGCTAAGTGGGGCAGGAATATTAGGAATCTTTAGAAATTAAGGGTAAGACGTCCTTGATTTAGACAATCCGCAAATAATGAAGCAGAACGTTGTGAATTACACTGTCCTCTATGAAGTTCAAAAGTCAGCTGGGTCCGACTGTCTCGTCCGTTGTATTACTGTCACAGTTGCCAACCGGTAGATATTTCAGTGCATTAAAATTATTGCGAAGAAATTGTGAGCGCATTTTTGTATTACCGTTTTGCAGATCTGGAAACTCTATTTTATGAAGTTTGATTTTGGGTCAAATTTCCTCCCTTTCTAACAGGCCCAGAAAATCACCTCGTGGTGACTCGTTAAATATTATTACACACACTTCCATTGCCCTTAACGGCCTCGATCGCCATGCCACTTTTCAAGTTTTGCATTACGCTCCGAGTCCTCTCATCTTCTGTGGTCCTTTAAGCACGCATTCTTTCAAATTTGACGCATTGAATACTGCATTCGAGTGCTACCCGAAATAACTATTTCGAGTTTATCAACGCATATCATAATCAAAACGTTTCAACGAGCAGCAGTTTTAGACTTATGGTAGAGTACACTGGCCCAGATTTTATTCGAGAATCAGTTGTAGGCGTCTTTGTGAACTATATTTTCGAGGCATGAAACCACCTGAAGTAAATTACTTACGAGAGTTTTTCTTTGTTAGCCTTAACTATCAAGGTGAAGAATGTCCAGTGGCTGGGGAACTAGATTCAATTCAAGGACAGAAGAAGCGATGAAACAAAGAGACATTTTTCACTTTCTACTCAACAGGTCATGTTACGCAATGCTTGAGATATCCCTCTCCCTAAGGACCCGTTTCAATTGAATAAACGTGGTCAAACCTGTTGACTAGTCACGCACGTTAACCTACCGATAAATGTTCTTAGGCACTATATGATCATAAGAACAATTATTGTAGCTTCGCTTTGATGGACTCCTCGAATTAGGCGAGGGCGGAGTGAAAGTAAGGCAATTTACTTGCTAGCAAAACAATAAGGAAGAAGACTGGCCTGAATGCGTAATTTTGCTGTCGAAGCTAATGCTATCACCGCTACCTGAGAGATGAGAGGATGAACTTTTCCTGCATCTAGATGCTTCGAGTAACCCAGCATCTCGATCCTAACCATTAAAAGAGAACTAATTGTTTGCTACGTCGTGCTGCACTCTTTCACCGAAGTAGAATCAGTTCTGCTGTCAGCACATTAACTCAGAAATGATCGATGCTTTATCTGTGTCTATCTGGACATCACGTGAGTTCAGCGTTACCAAGGCTCATGTAGCTGATAAGAACACAGAAAGCAATCTGTATCCAAAACCAGCCTTGTCCAAAGCGCTCGTGAAACTAATGCATGCGATGAGCATGAAGGAACAACGTATGGAATGGAACACTAGTGTTAAATTTGGGTAACACTTTCCTTGAATGATTTGCATCAGCAATCAGTGTCACCGTCATCATGACATATTAGATGAATGTGAGGAACACACTTCAACTACTGTGCCGCCATACACAAAGGCGAAGCACAGTAAAACCAAGCTACGAAACCTTATAGTATGCTTAGTAACATATTAGTAACGTGTTGTGTGTCAAGAGATAGATTGTGGCTGGAGAAGAAACATAAGCGGGATGGGAATGGGCAAAGAAGCGTTAAACACAAAAGCCACTGATGTAAGCTCTTTGCCATGTCCACCAGCCATCCAACCAAACGTGTTCATTTTCCTTTAAACCCGAGCAAGGTAGCTGAGGCAAACAAACCGACGCCAAATTTGAAGTGAGAAACTCCTTCCCATTAACTAAGTTATTGCGTATCCGTCTCTTCTCCTCTCCCATCCACACCTCAAGCGCGCAAACAGTGCACTTCGCGGGAGTCAGGGTGGTGGCCGTGCTCAAAATATGGCCCAGCCAACGGAGCCTAATGTGTGGTATAACTGTGCTGGGCAGTTTACTCGCTCTTCCTGCGTAAATGCACGACACCGAACACCCATATTGCTCACGCGGTGACCACAACAGACATGGACTAAGCTGCGAAGGCAGCGGTGATCGAAGATGAATTGCCCCTTGATGTCGGTCAACTGGATGGGTCAGGTTTTGCAAACGTACAGGAGAGTTCAACGGACGGCTGCATTGTAACATCTGCCTTTCAGAGCCAGAGTGATGCCGCGTTGGAGCAACAGGTGGCGCAGGTTGAAAAAGCACTTTGAGCTTTCGCTCTGTGGCTTGTGTCATCATCGTGCATGCTACTAGCGCTAATACAGCTGCCCAGACAATTAAATTTCTGGAAGAGTTCTAGCTGATCATCACTAAAGTCCAGCGCAGGAGTGGGTCCCCGCCAATCAAAAAAGGATTTCGTATTTCGAAATGACGGAGAGCCAATAGTAATTTAAAACAGTTAGTTCCCTTTGTTAACCTGAAAAGCACAGTTGGAAGACGAAGTTAGGCAGTTGCATGCATTTCGCATCGTCTCATCTGTACCGATAACGATAACCGGTAATTTTCTATGACAGTTTGTGGGTACAGACATACATACAAACAAAGGCGAGAAAAATGGGTGTCTTGCTTTTACAACCAGGGCAGCCTGAGGTCGACCGATAATAGTTTGTGAAAACAAAGCACTGGCTTAATCCGAATAATGGCAATAGCCTCGGCAAACCGGAGGAGCCGGGAATTAGTATGGCGGAACACGATTCTAAACGCCTTGTTGCCCTCAATTCGGTGACCCGATGTCAATAGGTGCCTGCCGATCGAAGATGCTTGCTTGGTGAATAAGCCTGCATTGAACCCATTTCGGTAAATGCTCCATTATTCGGGAACTCAGCGTTCTATTGCTTCTCCCTATGCAACTATCCCCGCAGTTACACACGAATTGATATACGCAGTGGGAGTTGGCGTCAATAGGCTGAGTTTCCTTTAGTGGAGGCAACGGTAGCTTATGAGTTCGGTCGATGATTACGACTTCGGCAGTACAGAAAGTGCTCTGTGTGGCAGAAATCAGACGTCTTCTGGTCCTCAAAGAAGCAATGTCACCCTTAAAGTTCAGCTCTAAGTATACCTTATCTTAGGCACAGTAGCTACAGCAACTTTCATTACACGGATTGCGCTGTGCTTCCGGATAAATTTTCGAGGGTAGCCATTAGCAATTAACGTGTTGGTTATTAGTTCTAGTTCATCGGCTAGACATTCGGTCGTACATATTCATCTGGCGCGACTAAACAGGGTCTTCACAAACGTTTGCTTGTGCCGCATCGGCATAAATCTGCTAAAATGCAGTTACTGTCTCGACCACGTTGCTTTTCGATAGAAAGACCATTTTACCAATCCGTTCTCCCTGCGGCTGATAAGAACATCCAAATATGGAAGACAGTTCTGTTGTGCGACTTTTCAGGAAATCCTCAAATTGACATGCGAGGAGTTGTATTGTGCCACTAACTGTGCTATCTGCATTTCTGTTGAACTGAACACCAAGATAACGTCCACGTAAAGTTTGTAATAGGGTAACTGCGCTATTTCTTCGCATAGGCTTCGTTCTATCATCAGCATGAAGAAATCCGCTAGTATGGGACCAACTGGGCTGCCCATGGCTACCCTATCAATTTGGCGATACGGTATGTTTCGGAAGTGGAAATCGACATTCTCTGTGCATAGAAGTAATGATCCTCTTAAGATTTCAACTGGAATCGGCAACGGACATTCGGAACTTTCTGCTAATCCGCAGATGTACTCAACGGTCTGGTGTAGCGGCACGTTAGTAAACAAATATTTCATATCTAAGGCACACATCCCCTTATCGGACAAGTTCATTTTATCGTGAACTTCGAC